TATGAGTCAACCACCTCTCGCCAATTTATCTCAAAACTGGTTCTTAAAGATTGCTTTTTACTATGTTCACAGGTTTTGAAGACCGTATATGTGTGTACATCCTTCTTTGGAATGATACTCTCTCCTAGAGGCCTTGTGTATAACTGAACTATCATACCTTCTTTATAAAATTACAATGTTTCTAAATGGAGTTACAATATAAAGGTAACCAGTTCCAGTAATAATAGAAATCTAATTCATTCTATGTGTTCATTCCATCTCACTCTCCCTGAAGTAGAAGGGAGGGTGATGGCTCTTAGAAATAAAAGTTAAAATGAGGAGAACTCTGAGGAGACCCCCAGAGGGTTGGGTCATATAGAGTTTGGAGGGGAAAGGGTCACCTTGAGCAGGTGGATGCCAGGTGCTGTGGAGGAAGAATGAGGTAGTAAAGCATTGCAATTACATTCCTTTCTGTTTCCCATATTTACTATTTTTAAAGTCTCTTCTCAGGATTTTGTCTCTTACCTGCCTTTTTATTAAAGAATCAATATTTTAACATTTGAGTCTCGGTTAATCATTTCTTTGTTTTATTCTCCTCGTCAGTGATTTCTGTCTTTATTATTATTCTTCCCTCTTGCTTCTTTGTTTTCTACTCTGGGATTCTTTTTCCAGTTTATTAAACTGAATGCTTTATTTGTATGAATCTTTTCTCCTTTGATAAGTGAATTTAGAGTCATAAATCATCCTGTGAGTAAGACGTTAGTGGTTTCTGCAGACTCTGATAGTTGTTTTCCGTTCTAAGAATTTAAAATTTCCCTTTTGATCTTTTTATATAGTGAGTTATTTAATATTGTGAACATGATGTTAAACTTGGACTTTCCCTATCTCCAAGGTGACTGGAGCTTTAAAGCTGAAAGCAGCAGATGCCGGTAGTACCTGAAATGTTACAATAATTCTTCAGGCCTTTTTTTACATACTTGTTTTTCATATTCCTGCTGGGAATATTAAGCAAAGTTGAAACTGCACATACACCCTGCAACACAGGCCCCAGGCCCCAGGGTATTCGCTGCATTTTTTAAATAACATTAGAAATTGCTATCAAAATCGAGAAATAAGTTATGGAGTATTAATGATGCAATATTCTATACCAATTAGAGTTAATTAAAAACTACATATATCAATATGAACACATTTTAAAAATATGACCGTTGAATGAAATGGCAAGTCTGAAAAGCATATACATTGTTCAATACAGGTAATGAAAAGCAGAAAGATAATACAAACAAAAAAATCCATAAAATATATATATATATATTTGTATGTTACTGTATGTTGTTTATGGACTGAAAGAAAGACTTAGTGCAAATAATAACATAAAACAACAAAATATATCAGGGTGTTTGGCACATGAGTACCCTTCATATAATTTTTTACAGATTTATTTAAATTCCAGTTAGTTACCATACATGTAAAATTAGCTTCCGGTGTACACTATAGGGATTCAACACGTCCATACAACACCAGGAGCTCATCACAAGTACCCTCCTCAATCCCCATCACCTGTTTCACACACCCCTCCTCCCACCTCCCTTCTGGTAACCATCAGTTTGTTCTCTACAGTTAGGAAGTCTGTTTCTTGGTTTGCCTCTTTTTTAGAAACTTTTTTAAGTTCAATTTAATTAACATATACTGTAATATTAGTTTCAGAGATAGAATTCAGTGATTCATCAGTTGCCTACAACACCCAATGCTCATTACATCAAGTGACCTCCTTAATGCCCATCACCCAGTTACCCCATCCCCCACCTCCCCTCCAGCAACCCTCAGTTTGTTCCCTATACTTAAGAGTCTCTTATGGTTTGTCTCCCTCTCTGTTTTCCTCTTACTTTATTTCTCCTTCCCTTCCCCTATGTTCATCTGTTTTGTTTCTTAAATTCCACATATGAGTGAAATCATATTGGTGTTTGTCTTCCTCTGACTCATTCTGCTTAGCATGATACCCTCTAGTTCCATCCACATCATTGTAAGTGGCAAGATTTCATTCTTTTTGATGGTTGAGTAATATTCCATAGTGTGTGTGTGTGTGTATGTGTGTGTGTATCTCACATCTTCCTTATCCATTCACCTGTCAATAGACATCTGGGCTCTTTCCATATTTCGGTTATTGTGGACACTGCTGCTATAAACATCGGGGTGCACATGCCCCTTTGGATCACTACATTTGTATCTTTGGGGTAAATACCCAGCATTTGGCTGGGTCGTGGGGTAGCTCTACTTTTAACTCTTTCAGGGAACTCTATACTGTTTGCCTCTTTTTTTCTCCCTCTTTGCTCTTATGTGGAATTTAAGAAACAAAACAAATGACCTTTCGAATAATTTTTGTGCTTATTTAGATTGGGGCAAATTTAATATATATTTAATAATTTTTAAATGAAAGTCTATCTTTTTAAACATTTCAATCTCTTTTTAAAGATTCCCCAGACACTTTACAAATGCTAAAATAAATAGAAGCCAAGGTAAACCTTTCTTGGGCCACGGGGCTGTAGGCACCATGTCTTTGCACCAGCCCTTCAGGAAGATAGTACAGTATGGTCAGAAAAAGCATGAAGTCAGAAGTCAAGCCAACCTGACTCAGACCACAATTCCCACTCTTGCTGTCTTGCGTGATCCAAGATGAATATTTTAAACTCTGTAAGCCTCAGTTACTCACTGTTAAGCAATGGCAAGATTTAAAAGTTGTTAAAAGAATTAAAGATAATTTAGCTATGATACAAAGCAAGTAGGAGACATTCTATCTAGCTATTACTAACATGGTATATAATATCTATGTATTATATAATTGAATTATTCCATGACTGCAATTATACCTCTTTGCATCAGAGATGATCTCTGAAGGAAATAAAGAGATTTCTTTCTAAGGAATTAATGGACACAGTAATAATGATAAAAAAAATAAAGAATTAATGTGCAAATTGGGGTAGGGTACAGTACTTACTTATTTTTAGTGATTTAAAACAACTCTTTTATTATGCTCCTATATTCTATGAGTCAGGGATTCAGGCAGAACTTGGGGGGGGTGACTTGTCTCTATTTCACAATGTGCAGAGATTCAGCTAGACAGACTCAGAGGCTAGGGGTGAGTGTTTGAGTGTTACTTTGTTTTCGAGTGATTTGGCAGGAAAAAAATTTAAAGTTAATTGCTCTAGTGCACTAAGAGCTAAGGTAGTATAAATGACCAAGACCACTGACAACTGCCAAGTAAAGATCAATAAAAAATTAAGAGAAATCTCTGAAAGGATAATATAACCCAAATGAAGAATAAGAGTTGATTTTTATATAGAACATGGCTATTACATGAAGCAGTATGTGTATTTGTGATTTGGGAAGAATATTTACTACCCTACACTTCACATATCATGATATATACTTTAATATACTCCACATAGAAAAATCAGGGAACAGGAAACCAGAGTGAGATCGCTCTACTTTTTGGAAATAGCTTGTCTGTAAGAACAACTACAGTACTCATCTGGTTTGTCTAGGCATAATTCCTATGTCTGGGGCACCTGGGTGGCTCAGTCATTAAGCGTCTGCCTTCGGCTCCGGTCATGATCCCAGGGTCCTGGGATTGAGCCCCGCATCGGCATTGGGCTCCCTGCTCAGCGGGGGGCCTGCTTCTCCCTCTCCCACTCCCCCTGCTTGTGTTCCCTCTCTCGCTGTGTCGCTCTCTGTCAAATAAATAAATAAGGTCTTAAAAAAAATTCCTCTGTCTGTGTCTAAACTCTAATTTTTCAAATAAATCTGCCCGCAGCTAGGTGGCCACATTTTTAGCCATCAGTGGGTGGCTGACTCATTGTGGTTCATAAGCATCAATTCCATATAAAAAAGAAATGGAAAAACACCCTGAGTTGTAAGCGACCAAAATGTGATCAAAATCTAACTTGGTTTGATTAAAAAGGAAAATCCACAGTAATCCACTTTCTCCTTTCTACTCTTCACACAACAAAGTAAGAGGTAGTACAGAGAAGCAATTAAAATGAAATTGCCTTTTGCCCCTGGGATATCTGAGTAGAACCTTCCCACCAATGAAGTATTTAGCTCCAGATTTCTCACTTTCCCCCCCTTTGCCATACCAAAATTGCTGTGGTCTCCCTTTAGAAACAATGTCTATTCGGTTAACCCTAGGCTTCTGAGACTCTTAATCTTTTTAGTTTGTAAAAATTGTAAGACTGCACAGAAACAAGGCCCTATTCAGTTAGGACCTTGGATAGGATTGGAAACTAGCCTAATATCATGAATTGCAACAAACTTGTATAACCTCTGAAATGGGGTGAAAGAATGTATCCATGACCATTGACCGCACCTAGACTCTGCTCCTGCAAGGAGATATCACAGGAAGAAAAGAGTGTGCAGACATAAATGTGCCAACACTGTTGCAAAACTCCAACATTCACCCTCCTTTCTGACCATGGTCAGACCTCAGAAACAAACACACTTACTATTCCCACCCAGGAACAAAAGCTGCATCATTTACCCAGAGACCCTGAGTCACGTGAGCCCTTCCACTTCAGCCAACAAAACCACCTGACTACTACAGGACTGGAGACACATGAAACAGAATTGTACCAGCAAGAGGAAATGTTCCCACAAATGAAAAAACTCTATGTCACTTCCAGACTCTTCATGATCTCTCTCATGCATGTCTTCACAATGCAGCAAACACAGGGACATCTAGTAAATACTGGATTCCAGTAAAGCAAACAATGGTGCGGTTCAAAGTATGTATAGATACACACGTGCAGTCTCAGTGCGGCTCGGGAGCAGAAGAAATGGAAAGTGAAGCTCCACTGGGAGCTTGGGGCTGGGAAAAGTGAGCCAGGTGAGTAAGATGGGGGAGCACAGAGCGGCACAAGAGACAGTTGGGAGCACCACTGAAAAGGGACCCCTCGCCCCTGGTGAGGTACCCGGCACTCCTCCCCCGGCGATCACAGGGTCACAAAGGACAGAGAGAGCGCTCTTACTGTAGCACACGGGAGTGGCTGAGATCTCTCAAATCCGAGTCCTCATAATGTGGGGTTATCGTTCCCAGCCCGCTGTCGCTCAGCATGCGCTTCCGTAGGGCGGGATTCCACCAGTCGGACATTCTGGGAGAAAGCAGGGCACCAGGCATTTAGGCACTCAAAGCCAGCACGGCACTTACTCTGCTCTGTCTCAAGATGATTCTTGTCTAGATGTGAGATGGCACACTAATACCAAACTGGGTATTTACTAGTTACTTCTTCACATTCATTATTTAATTTTCTCAAGTGTCATGAACTATTTGTGTGCTTCTGTCCTCTACAGATGAGAAAACTGCCTTTCCAGATTAAGTACTTTTAGGGGCGCCTGAATGGCTCAGTCAGTTAAGCATCTGCCTTCGGCTCAGGTCATGATCTCAGAGCCCTGAGATCAGCCCCACGTTGGGCTCCCTGCTCAGCGGGGAGTCTGCTTCTCCCCCTCCCTCTCCCTCTGTACATGCGTGCTCTCTCAAATAAAAAAATGAAATCTTAAAAAAAGATTAAGTAATTTTAAATGTGATGTAAATAAGAAGTAATGGGACCTGATGTAGAAATGGAAATTAGGAAATAACAAAGCCCATCCTTTTTCACTGCTTTCCTGTCCTTGTTCATTTCCAAAAGGGGCAACTGACCAGAAATAAGAAAGGGACTGATTGAAGTGCTAATGGATTTTCAAGCTACTTTGGGCTACTTTATTTTTGGAGCTAGGGCTAATAGAGGATTAGCCCAGGATAAAGCCATTTCTTTTGGCCAATTATTGATATAGAGAGAGGGCAAAGAGCAGGGTGAGTGTGGTAGAACGGGTTTACTCTTTACCAGATTGAAGACTGCAGCCAAGATCATGTTGGGCAAGAGGACAGCAAGACTCTAATGCCCACTGCCCCTGCAGGATGATCCAGCATCTCACTAGCTTTCCCCACAGCAGACAGGCTGGATTTACAGACATGGACTGTGAAGATGGGCTTCTCCACCACCTTCTGGGACACCCGGGGATACACATTTGATATCACTAGCTCTGGATTTCCTAAACGCTGCTATATACCTGCCCCATCCTGCCACCTTTGTCTTCTCTGGACTTGATACATATCACCGATACCAGCCGGCCTTGGCAGAGTGAGAAATATTCAGAAATGGCAGCAATGACCAAATAAATTAGTGCACAGGGGTAAACAGGCATAAGGTAACCTCAAGTGAACATGTCTACATATGTGTGTGTGTCTCTGTGTGTGTGTGTGTGTGTGTACACAATTCGCAAATGCTATTTGAGTGCCTGTGTGTGTGTGCTTTCCAGGGAAATCTTTATTTTAACTATTTGGCCTCCATATACCAGTAAGACATCAAAATTCATCAGACTTTACAAGGGCAGAAATTTTCATTTTTTTTATTTTTGCGCTGTTGTTTCCTAAGGGCTGCTACTAGTAGTTGGCACCTAAAAAGGTTTCTAAATAAGTATTTTGGAATTGCTGAAATAACCTAGAAATATTAATAATATTTTGGTCGTTCAATACAGTGATTAAATGCATGGGCTTTAGCATAAAACCTGGGACCAAATCTCAATTTTCCATTCATTTTCTGTGCAATGGCGGCAAAGTTAAAGAACCCTCTGAGCCTCAATTTTGTTATCTGTGGATTTAGGATAATAATAGTACCAGACGTGCAGGGGCACTGTGACAGGACAGTGATGATGATGGTGTTTTAATAACACCATATTGAATGAGTGTCTACCAAGTGTCAAGAACTATCCTAAATACTTCACACGTATCAACTGATTTAATTTTCAAACAATTCTCTGTGTGGGCTTCATTTCCATTTTATAGATCAGGAAATAAGCACAGAGCACTTCCAATGACAAGGTTACTATGAAGTGGTGGTAGGGATATAAGGCAGGCATTTAGGACAGTATGTGGCTCATAATAAGTGCTTGATACGTCACAGTTATTATTATACCATCTGTGTCTCAGGCTGCCTGGATATAGCAAAAAAAGGGAGGAGGAAGTGGTAGAGAAGAAAAGTAAGAGTCAAACCACCTGTGCCCATTTTCCTTTGGATGATACAGGCATTATAGATATATATGCACAAATGCAAATACTCGTACTTTATAGTTTGGTAAGAAGTATGGCTGTGGTGGTTAAAGAAGGTTCAGACATGGTACAAATCTTGGTGGGAAAGAGTAATTCTATGCAGCCATTCAAAAGACAGACACAGAATGGAACCAGTTATGCTACACGCTAATGAAACCCAGCAAGAAAACCTGTATTTCAAGATAGTTCAATGTCATTAGAAATGTCTAGTGCAAAGCCACGTCAGACACGGATGTCACGCTGTGGCGAGCCTCACTACCACATCACCAAAGAAGGGTGCACTCACCCTGAGGCTTGCTCCACCACCAGGTCAGGCATTCCTGGAGGTGTCCCCGCCTGCTGTGACAACACCATGTCTGGATCCAGAATAAAAATCTCGTCTTGGGAAATCTCCATCACAAAGTGCAAATGTTCCTAAGGAAGAAAAAAGAAGTCTGTCAAAGGATTGACAGGATGCTCAAATCTATCATCTGATAAGTGACAAAACAAAGCATCCTTGGTCTTGAGGGATAATGAAAGTTGATGGCGTATCCAAAGACCACAGTGTATTTTCAGAGGCCTGACCAGTGGATACCATCCCTGAAGTGACATGGTAGCAAGAGGCTGGTGAGGGGAAGAGGAGAATCCTTCTTGGTTTGGGATTCCTACTCAACCAGGATCTTGTCAGGTGTAACCAGAGATGGGCTTGCCTCTTCTTCCCAAATACTTTTGAAGAAGCGACACCCCACTTGTGGCTTGGTCCAGCATGAATTGTGCAGTAAGCTGGACTTGGACCCCCAGGATCCGGCCAAAGCTAAGTGGCATGATTAACTGGTTTTATCACTGGATTCCATGCTGTATTATTATTTCTTCTCCTCCTTCTTCTTCTTTATTGCAGGAGAATTTGGACAGTAGGAACATTTATTATCATTGAGCAGAAGCATTTTTTTTTTTCTCATTACAAAATTCTGGGAAGTGATGAGTTGGAACTGAGTAGCATAAATGTACACCTGAGGTGTCAAACTTGCTAACCAAAATAAACTGAAAAAGCCATAAAATGGACCTAGGAAGTAGTAAAAGTTGCAGTGTGTGAGAAAATTTAGAGTGCAGGCTGGTGATAACATCTATAAGCCTAGTTATTTTCTGTACTCATTTGCAAGGTCAAATCTTGAGTCCACAAATCACAAAATGTGTGAAGACAAATAAAAAAACTCATAACTTAGGCTATGAGTACCATTCCGGAATGTGTAAATGTTTTAGGGTTTACATTCGAGAAATGTATAAGATTAGCTACCGATAAAGTCTATTGATTTGGGAATTTTTCTCTTTTACAAATAGGCTCAAGAAAGCTTACCTGAGATCTGTCTATTCGGTAAAAGCGATCAGCAGAAGTTGCTAGGAAAGAAAAATGTATATGGCATTCAGAGTCCTGTGATCTAGCCCCAAATTTACAACCTTCTCTCCTATTATACCACTCAAAATCTTTGCATTCCAGGCGTGCCGGCCTGCTGGCCAGTTCCTAAATTTAGAAAAACTCAGAACTCCCACGTCTGCTACGGCTATGCCCCAGCTTAGAAAACCCTTCCCCATTACATGTCCCTAACTAAATCTTACTTGTCTCTTAAGGACCAACTTAAATGCTGCCTCCTCTGAGAAACATTCTTCCATCCCATCTTCCCTACTCTGGACAGAATTCATTGCTCCTACCTTTAGGCATATTCACATTTTTTTATACTTCTTGTAGACACCATCTTCATAAATAACTAGGAGACAGAGATATCTGCCTCTTTAAAGGTCTGTGTTTCATCTACCCTTTTATGTCTACAGACATTAGCACAGGACCTTAAACAGAGCTGGGACTCAGTATGTATTTATTAAGTAAAGAAAGTTGCTGTTGTTGGCGGGGGGGAACCTGTAGGTAGCCAGACTTCCCAAGGAAGTGATTCTCATTTAGAAAAAAAAGCTTGAAGATGCAGAGCCAGGGACCACATCTGGTACTGAAGGATTCATTTCACTTCAAGACTGAATTCCTAAGCCATGTCTAAAGAAAGCCAAAACAGTAAAAATAATTATTTAAGCATCCCTAAAAGGAACTGCGTTGCATCTGTGCTTTGGGGAAAAAAAAATTGAGAACTTTGGGTTTGTAGACACTATTCTGATTATTCTTAATACTCAAAAGAATTATGTTCCTCCTCACTTAAATCTATCTAACAGAGTCCAAATATTATAAAAAGATTTTCTACAAAGTACATAGTCCTAGAGGGAATAACTCAAAATGCAAATAATCATTCAAAAATCATAACTATTTAATGAGTAGCTTCTTTCCAAAGGAAATGAGCTGAGAAACAAGACAATCACGGTCCCTCCCCGCTAAAAGCAACAAAGGAATAAAATCTGAGGACTTATTCTACTTTCGTTCTTTTTAACCTTAAGTGTGATCACCTTTTAAAGGTTTATCTATCTATAGAATATAACTAACATCACACTTGTAATTTTATCTAAGAATGTATATAGAACAGACTGTATATAGAACAATTCATATAAACTTCTAAAATTTTCTCAAATATAAGTTGTTTCCCTGTGAATTCAGCAAAAAACACATGATTGTGCTTTCCATCACAAGGGAATAAAGGAGCTGGAGGAAAGTAGTGTCAATTATCTTCAGAGTAGGTGATGAGCTACTAGTGAAAACCTAGGTCATGATTCACTTGGGTTAGATCTGACATAAATACAAGTGTTCATCTTCATAGTACTGTTCACATACTCACACGTCCTGTCACACTCTTGTCCACATTTATATCTGCATCCCCAGATCAAAGAAAGAAATGTCTACAGTGAAAACCACATGTCCACATAGACAAGAGAGATACCGGGTAGTTGATACACTGGGCAGTAGATAAGCAGGAATGTACTGTAATATGGGTAACTAACTGATAGAAAAACAGGATTAGGCAGCATCTAGGGAGTGAGGGATGCTTGCAATGGAAAATGAACCCATTAACCAATCAGAAAATAACTGAAATACATTCAATAGGCCATGCTCAGCTGAGCAGATCTGAATGCAACTGAAAATTTCTACATTTTTGCAAAAATGTATACTCATACTGAAATGATGGCTAATGGAAATATACGAAAGTTACAATAAGCAAACAACAGAGAATTAGCACCTGTCCGTTGTGTACTGTATCCATCTACTGGCCTGAATTTAAGATAAGTCCTCAACATGTTTCAGGAAAAGTGTGTGTGTGGGGAGGGGGGGGCAACGGAACGGGAAATATCAGTTTGAGCAATTTGATGCTGAGTTCAGCCCAAGTTAACCAACTTTCTCTGAAAAAAATGACTTCAGGAAAGTATGTTGCAACATCAGTGAGTCCACATATTTTGAGATGCAAATATCAGTCACACAGAGCCACATAAAGGGTTTCTGAATAATCCCTTGGAAAACCAGGGTCCACTCCACCCCATCTATCAGTGCATTGTTGTCCTGCTGCTTCTGCAATCCCCACTGCTCCATGAAATAGAGAAACACTCACCATCTAGAAAGCACCACCGTGGGGAGAGTCTCTGAGCTGAGAGCGCCCTGGGGAAGGAGGTTTCGTGGTCCTGGAAAGAGACACATACATCCTCCTGACTCCATTTGAATGACCTGAGGGCTTTAACCTCACTGTACCATATCGACTACTTCTAAGAGTGAGCATCCTTTCCTAAACCGAGCACTGCTGAGAGGTCAAATCATATTCTTACTAGAAAGAGAGGCTGTGCTTTGAAATAAATTACTTCACACGGAACCTTCTAAAACAACTCCCACATAAAATTTCCGTGAAGTTCTCAACTACTCTATTAAGCAGTCATAAATGACATAACTGGGGACATTTACCTCGTTTAGGGAATTTCTTTGCTTTTGTGAAGCTAAGGAAGTAGGGGCAGCTGGCTGTCATTTACACTTTGGTTCCCCACATAGGTATCAGGAAGGCACTAGCACAAAATGGAAAGGAGTTGAGCCTCATCTACTGGCCAGACTGGACTCGCAGCATTGAAGAAACACAAGAGGCCATCCAGCTGCAGTGTCAAATCCCCGTAACTAGAATGGCATCTGTTATACAGGGCAATGTGTCTGCATGAAAGCAAAGGAAATCAACATCACATATTGAGGCCTCATCATTACCTCAACATATCCACTGAACCTGACTGTAGAGCCGCGCACAAGGAGGAAAAACGTCCTGCCAGGCTGGCTGGTGACAAAATCATCTGTCCAACACGGACTTAGCCAACGATGTACTCATCCGCCTTAGCATTCTCCAGCTCTCTAGCTTCTAAGATGCCCGATCCTCCCCCCTTCTCATGTGTGAACTCAAGGCCATCTGCTAGCCTCCATCTCCTCTCCTTTAGCCTTAGATAAAAAGGTTTTTTTCCTATTCAAAGCTAACCACTTCATCTAGTCTCCAGATTACTCTCTTCTTCCCTTTCAAACTTTATTTCTGTATTCTTACTGAAATCCTCTCCCCTACCTGGAAATTCACTAATTTTTCTGCTTTCAATGGCTCCCCCTCTCTAAAACAAATTCCCCTCAATTGATCTTGTTACATCTTCTGAAAATTAATTTTTCCTTCCTTGCCCTGCCAAATCCCTGAAATATGCCTCTAGAATCTCCTGTCTCCAACTTCCCCTTAGCCATTTTGGCCCGACCTCTAGAAGGCTGGCTTCTGATGCATCATTCTTCAAAAGCTGCCCTTCCAAGAGATCACCAGGACTAGCATCCTTCCTGATTTAATACTACTATCAGTTCCCAAGATTTCCAGAAGTCTCCTGAAACTTTTACTTCTTACAAGGAATTAAGTCCACATCACAGAAGAACAGACTAGGGAACTGGCAGATTGAAAGCAGAAGGGATTATCTCTTTATAATTCCCAACTTTCAAAAACTGAAAATCTCCCCTAAGAGAAACTCTGTCAATGATAATTTAAAAATAAAAAGCGCATTCTAGTTTACAACACATGACTTGGAGCATTCTAGCCCTGGCTTATAATGAAATTGAAATCATTGACAGAAACAGGACAAATGAGGAGGGAGGCTAGGTCTCTGTGGGGAGGGCAGTGGGAGTTTGACCCACATTAGGGATTTGAGATGTTTTAATATAAGTAGCATCCCTAGAGTGCAGCCGGGTGTGGCTGATCCGTGTGTACTGGAAGGGGACAGGAGAAGGAACTAGGAATAACATAGGACAAACAGTAAGAGAACTAATCAGAGGTTGCACTGACTTCTTTGGGGTTTTGATCAACACTCCCTGATGCCTCACTTGCTCCTCAGGCAAAGCCTATGCTTAGATCAGCGGGTCTCAAAATGTGAACCATGGAACAGCAGCATCAGCTAGGAACTTGTGAGAAATACAAACTCCCTGGCACAACCACAAGTTTATAGAAACCCTGGGAGTGGAACCCTGTAATCTTTCAGGTGAAGGTGATGTACACTAGAGGTTTAAAAGCATGGACCTAACAAAAGGGATCCGTTTTATTATAAGAAACCTTGACTACATGTAATTTTTAATATGAATGGATTCTGCAAAGTAAATAATTGATAGAGAAAAAAACTGGTCTCGGGTCTGGCACCCAAAGTTTATATTTATATGTGTAGAATTGATATAGCTATGGATAGGCAGATAAATACATATCTCTATGGATATTTATGTAGCTATGAACACAAGATATTTCTCTTTTCTGAACTGGCTTTGCCATCCTGCTGGTTGCACTAAATGAAATCATGCTCAGTACCTATTTGTATGAAAATCACATGTCACATTTCAAGAAGTACATTTTGACACATGATATACTGTTTTAAAGAAACCTAAGGTTCTTACTGTATTTTTATAAAACATGTAAAGTCACCAACATGTCCGTTTAGTGTGAAATGTAAGTCAGGAGATTCAAATGGGATTTGAAATATTTAGTGCCAACTATGAAAGCTCCTAAATAAAAATACTAAACAGAAACATGGCTGTCTTCTCTAGAAATAAAGATGGCTTAGACACCAAGGACAGTTTCTGAAATCTGATGTCAAATGTGCTACAGAGAGCCCCACACACAAAAATGAAATTTCCCTAGGTAAAAATCTACTCTGAAAGAACGCAGAAGTGCTTAATTTATCATTTTAAAAACCTAAAGCTTAATAATGTTATTGTTGGAGTATTCAAATTAGAGAATATCGGATATTGTTTAGTCTCGTTTAATAAAATGCAGATTGAAAAAAATAAATAAAATGCAGATTGATATACTGCCTCAATCATGTCACTAGCTTACCACAGGATGGCAAAATAATATTGGTATAATTGTATACATTTTTATGTATGAGTGTCTGTGTGTCAAGAGAGTTTTATGGATGGGCCTAACTATTTATTTTGTATATTTTCTGTTTGTTTATTTTCTCTACACCTTAATTCACAGGCATTTGCTACAACTTAAGTTCCTTAAAGAGGTTTTATTTAAAGAGAATGTTACCAGTTTGCTCTGTGAAAACACACTGGCTGCCAAAGAATAGAGATCTTTGAAACACTTCAAATAGGTTCAAGTGGACCCTCGACTAAGTTCAACAAGCCTTAACTCCCTGAAATTTTATGCTAAATTCAGTGTGTCTAGTGGAGGTGCATGTTTCACTGCTTTCTATAGGTTATCAAAGTGATCTGGAATCCCAAGAAACTCATGAGAAAAATGTCATTGAAAAATAATTGGACCCTTTCTTGGTCACGTGCAGATTAACCCAGCGTCTTAGGAGATGGTTACAAGTGCACAGGGAGAGCCCTAACTTGTCTGATGTAGCTCCCCTGAACTAGGTTTGCATCCTCTCCCTCCTTTTACAGAACTCCTTCAGCCTTGTTCATAAAAAAATTGTCAGCTCTTAAAAAGAGAATTATTAATATAATGAAGGCCTATGTTAAAAGGCATTTGAGGAGTGCCTGGGTGTCTCAGTCAGTTAGGCGTCTGTCTTTGGCTCAGGTCATGATCTTGGGGTCCTGGGATCGAGCCCTGCATCAGGCTCTCTGTTTAGCAGGGAGTCTGTTTTATCCTCTCCCTCTGCCCCTCTCCCTACTTGTGCTCTCTCTCTCTAATAAATAAATAAATAATTTTTTTTTTTTTTTTAAAAGGTATTTGAATTCCAAAATAAAAATGCAATTATCGCCTACCCCAATCTGGGAAGGATTTATAATGCAATGCAATTAAACTACTTATTTCAAAATTTTACATGTCAAAAAGATATATAAAAGCAGTCAAGTCTCAACAAAATTTTCCCCTTGGATCTAATCTAGCCCACACATATATATGCAGATGAAAGGATCTCACTTGCATTAGGACCCTACAAGTTGGAGATTACCTATAATCAGTGTTAAAATGATGTTTCACTGCAGCAGATGGACAAAATGTAAAAACATACCCACAAAATATAGCAACAATCTATAAAATAAGACACAAAGAAATCCAGCTAATCAGCACAGCTGGGTGCTAGGACGACATCTAAAAGATCCAGGGGAGAACAGGAGGGAAAGAGCAGGCGAGGGATGGGAAATCTGGTGGTGGTTGAGGCTGTTGTATTTCACTTGAGCTGAAAACGAAGCCAAAAACACTTTTAATGAGAAAGTCTGCTTTGGAAAACTGATTTTGTGTGTGTGTTCCAATACAAGTTTATTTATGGACACTGAAATTTAATTTCATATAATTTATGTGAATTATAAAATATTCTTTGGGTTTTTTCCCAAGCATTAGAGTATCTGAAAACCATTCTTAGTTCACAGGCTGTGCAAAAGATAAATAGGCAGCACACTAGATGTGGCACTTGAGGTATAGTTTTTCAGATCTGTGGTTTCAATCATTACAAGAGTGCTTGATTTGTGATTATATTACATTTAGATTTAATAGGAATTGTGTTCCCCAACAGGTCCATTTTTTAAAATCTGATCTTGTGAATTATCATGTCATTGCTGCCCCATCAAAGGTTGCTCTGTTTGAAAATTCTGTAAGTGGAACTCAGAAAGAAGACATACTTCAGCTAAGAAAATCCCTTACGCTGAATCTGGTCCATATAGTACCAGGAGCTTTTCACTGGTAACCCTTCAGTGATGAAACCCAAAAGATAGCAGTAGATAATCACACTATAAATTCTTAACATCTAAAAGTTAAATCAAATGGCGTAGGGGTAGGTTTTCTGGAAAACTCATGTTTTTGTAGGATGACATCATCAGACTAAGAAATGAGATGACAAGAGAGTCTCTGTCCTGGAGGTGTTTAGGAAAGGCAGTTCAATGGATGAGAAAGAATAATAGTGCAATCGATGGTACATGATCCAGCCTCAAGTATCAAACCCAGAGGCAGCAGAATTCTGGGGGCCGAGAAGACCAGCTTGTGAACAGGACAATCTTGGGGCTTCACCACCTACTAACTGAGATTTTAGGCAAATTTCTTATCTACTCTGTACCTTGGCTACCTCGTTTGTAAAATGGCTACCATGGTATCTATTATAAAGGGTTCTTTTGAGAAATAAGTGAAAGGACACGTGGAATGCTTAGCCCATGTGTTGGCACACGTAGATATGCTGATATTGTTATGCTACACAAGTAA